TTAAGGTTTTTAAAGCTAAATGAGAACCGAGGAACACTTAAAATCATAATACATTTTTATAAATCTACTTTGACAGTCTCATGAACTCTGAGTGAGAACTTGGAAAACTCTTTATGTACTTTTCAGTGAAGACAAAAATCTAAATGAAAACATCTTTTGGCAATAAACACCATGTGTTACCACTTTCCTGGTGGAGGATCTGCCCACCAGAGTGTTCTCTGTGCTGCTTCCCACAAAGCAACAGACCACAAAATCCTAACATGTTTAGTAGTGGATGAACTCACCCACAGCTGCTCACAATGGCTCTGTGCAGTGAGCAGCAAGAGGGCAGGAACCCTGCGTGTTCTCTGAACTTCTGCCCCTATACAAATCTCAATTGATTCAGAACTTAGGTGTATAATGTTTCACCTTTAAAACTTTCATTGTATAAAGTCCACTTTTTTAAAACAAGCCACTATATAGGAATGTGAGTGTGTATTCCCAAAGTTGCAAAACTAGAAACATGGTTAACTTAGCAATTATTGAAGCATTGAAGAGAACATGAAGGGAGACTTAAACATGATCTTTCTGAAGACTCAGAAACTTTTTAATAATATTTTTAATATAAAGTATTTTTATAATCTTTCATAATTTAAATATGATCACACATTGGTAAACAGTAAGGGCCGAAAATGTTTTTTGGTTTCAATACTCTTGCTATGCTGAAGTGGGAGGGATACCCATTATGTACATGTGCTCTCATGGAAGGCATTTAGAATTTAGTATATGAGTACCATTCTCAGCTTTGTGTAGTGGTTTGAGAGTTTATTTCCTAATATGTATAATGGGATAATATGACAAATTGTTCTTCTTTCTGAGTCCATGTTTTAAAAATAATGTAGGGGCTGAGAATGTACCTCAATTGACAAAACACCCTCCGAACAGGTGTGAGCTCCTTATTTTGAACCCCAGCACTACCAAAAAAAAAAAAAATCAATGACAATATCCATAAATTTTCAAGAATAGCATGATCCCTAAAGTTTCGCATAAAATGGCATTGTACTGCAATAAATTCCTTACCTGTGACTTGAGCATTTTATATTTGTAGCATTTATATTTTATACTTGGACAGTCATAGATGACCTCAGCACTTTTCCAGTAGGGCAGGGTTCTCAGCCATTTATAATTTATTTTGGATTGTTTTGGTAATGATTCTTTTCCACTTTGTTTCATCTTCTTGCTCTTGCCTTTATGTTACTAAGTCTCACGTGCCTGACAAATACCATAACAGATGAGATTTGTATGTATCTGTGCATGTGTTTGTATGTGTGTGATGTCTGTGCACAAATTGAACATTGCAATGTTGTTAGTAGTCACAGAGTAAGCATTGCCATTTATTTCTTCTATTCATGCATATTTCATGGGCATTCACTTCACTAAAACATGACATAACTTTTTACAAACTTTATTTTTCCTTTCTTTGCCGCTCTTATAAACAGCTTTTGAAGATAACTTTCTCTTTTACGTTCACTAGCCTGTCTTTTCTTCATCCAGCAGAGATTGTCAGGATTTATTCATTGAGGCTCCCTCTTCCAAACATCTAAGCTTGTCTCAGCCAGTTTTTAATTGTGAATATAGTTACTTCCCATTTACTTTGAATTTGGAGATTTAATCTTGAATTTGAGGAAAAGAACTGAAGCTCACTGTGACTCAAGTCTGTTTCTCTTTACTCCATGCTATCCTCATTCTTGTAGGCTACAGAAAGAGTGGCCACGCGACAAATAAACATTGCTTGCCTTTCAAGTTAAGATGTCTAAGAAATGAAATGTAGTGTCCAGACAACACTTTTTCAATTTGGACTTGAAGTGAAATGAGTGTATGACATTTACAAAAAACAAGCGAAAAAGACCAAGTCATTTATATTGCCATTCTAAAACTGTAGATGTTGTCTTTAGAATCCCTGTGGCTGTTGAAACAAGTTTGTTCTTAAAGTAATGGAGTAAAACATTAAATAACCTAAAGTGTGGGTGGGTGTGTATTTATATAAAATTAATGCCAAGATCTCAAATGTTTTAAAAATTGATTTTTTAGACCAAATTATGAATATCAACTTAAAATGTGTCCTTAAAAGGTAGCCTAATTCTGACATATTCAAGTGTGGGAAACTGAAGTAATTCATTGTAATTGAGGAAATTTGATGTTAATAATACTTCATGCACAAAAACTGTTAACATCGGCCCCTTTTCCCTATTCCAGGAACAGTATGAACTGTACTGTGAAATGGGCTCCACTTTCCAGCTCTGTAAGATCTGCGCAGAGAATGACAAGGACGTCAAGATTGAGCCTTGTGGACATCTGATGTGCACCTCGTGCCTTACCGCGTGGCAGGTACCATGCAGCTGCAGTGTCCTTCTGTCACCCCGCTCACACTTCCCCTAGGATCCCAGGCTTAACGATTTAGGAAGTAATACTTAGAACTGTTTTATCTAAAATAGTAATATATATCTATATATATATCTATCTATATATATGAAATTGATAATTTTGCTATGTTTTGTGATTTTATAATGTATGTAACTTAAGTTTCTTTTGGTCGTAAGTGGTTTCGCTTCTGTCATATAGTTAATTTCATGATGACACACATATTAATTTACCAAATGAGTCCATTTAATCTACCTCATATTGTGCTCTTAGAAAGATTTTGGAGCAGAATGAATTACAGTAGATAAGTCTTATGCTATTGCTGTCAATCAGATCTCTTTTCTCTTGAGATACTGTGCATGACTCATGTCTGTGATAGCTGCTTTGCGAGACCAAAACTGGGCAACTGAGAACCATGTCCCTGGATCAGTTTCTAACCAATTATCAGAAACTTAGAAAGAGTAACTTCCTTCTTGTTTGTAGTTAGGCAGTCACTAAATACAAAATGATTTGATGTTTTAGAATAAGGCCATGAGAAAGCTGTTTTCCCCTGATGATTCTTTCATAGATCTTTAACTGCTGCAAAGTTGGGGATTTAAAATGGGTCTTTTAACCAAATTCCAGTTTTAACTATTTGAGAGATTATTTTGATCAGGTCATCTTGCAATTTGCTATTTAATATAGCCCTGTTAAAACTAGCAGTATGTTGATGTAATTTGACAAGCAAAAATTTTAGTTTTTAAACCTTGGCCTTCACTCTTTGGTCTTCTCTTTCCAATCTTGAACTTCTGGTGTAAGGGAAGATGGGTCAAGGGGTTCATGAAATGAGACAAGCTGCCTCAGAGGGCAATGGCACCGACTGAACTTATGGACTGATGACAAAATATAATACCTTTCACAATTACATAGTTTTAAAAGGGACCTGCTCTCCCTGAAGAGACTTTGAAAACAGGAAAGAAAAGAGGAAGAAGAAGAGATAAAATACAGTTGATTCAGGTTTTCATAGCCCTCTGTGAGCTCATGGGCATCATTGTCACCTCAGGAAATTTATACAGCATCTCCATGCATCTCTCCCTCTGCATGCTTTTGAGTTATATGTTGCTTTAAGTTTTCTCGATATCCTTGCCTTTATTTCTTGCATCCTATTCATTTTGATGCTGAATCCGCACAGCACAGGGAGTTGCTGGCAGAAGGAAGGGACTTGATGTGGCATCATCAAGAATCAATCCAGCAGATGGGCACTTGGTGGCTGTTTACGTAGCTACACTCACTCTGTACACTTAGCAGTAATCAGTTTTGATGTGCTGATGGAAGTCAGATCCATCCAGCTGCACCTTGGCCTTTGCAGATGAACTGATCCAAAGTGCTATTGATCTTTCACCTCCCCGTGGGACGCCTGTGGAGGAGAGTTTAGAACTTTTCACCTGTGACCCACTCAGTTTCTCGGGATGAGTACTGAACTAAGAAGAGGCAAAGTTATGTTCCTTCCCATTCTGTAACAACTTAGGCACTCAGTCTAGTAATAATGCCTCTCCCGTGTTCCTAAAAGACAATAAAAGCGTTATTTACTTATCTTTAAATGGAATGTATAAATTTATGCTAGTGCACACTGGGCCCTCCCTCTCTGCCTCTGTTGGTGCTGTGTGTTCCAGCTGGTTTTCTCTGGGCTCCAGTCTTCAAATGTGCGGTACACCAGGTTATGCATGATGGGAATTCATGTGTTTGACCTACTGATGTGCTTTCTATGGGGGAGGAAGGTGGGTAGGTGGGTGAAGCGATTGCTTAATGCACTTCACAAGTGCCAGTTACATTGTAACACAAGGTGGGTTTTGGAAAGTATGCCTGAGTGTAACAGGAGAAACAGTGTGTTTATTCTATAGACTTCTTACAGGACAGCTGATAGTTATTTTTCAGTCTGTCATGTAAAAGAGCATATGATTCTTTCCAGCTTCTTCTATATTGTTACTGATCTGCCCTTCGCATCACAATAATTTTTCTGTATACTATGAAACGTTCTTCAAACGGAATATATACTTCCTCTTTCTGGCTGAAAGTCAGTACCCAGATGGCTTGCATATGTTTTTATATTGATATTAGTGACCTTATGTCGATATGGCCAGTAGTACTTATAAATTATTAGCCTCTGCTGCTTCTCCTTTTAATGCTTGCATACTTCTCAGTTTTGCTTTTAGAAATTGAGGAAGTGCACACATAACCAAGCACTGCAAACAGGGTTGGGGAAATTAGTAGAAGATACATGAAAAAGTAATAATAAATTAGTAGCTTATTAAGTAAAGTTTTAAAAAATAAGTATTTCAAACTTGTTCATGAAAATAATTTGAGTCCCATTAAATGACTCTTGTGCTGCTGGGCTGTGGTGGCACACAGCTGCAATCCCAGCAGTTGGGAGGCACAGACAGGTGGATCTCTGTGAGTTCCAGGCCAGCCCGGTCTACAAGAGCTAGTTCCAAGACAGGCTCCAAAGCTACAGAGAAACCACACCTCAAAAAAAAAAGAAAAGAAAAAAAAATCCACTTATACCATCAGTGAGTACTGTTACCCTATACTGGTTGTTGGATTTTGCATATAGACTAAGGAAAAATGGGCACAATTTTTATTTCAATATAAATTTGAAATGTCAAAAAATATGTTTCAATAAGTATTCTGCTTTAATTTGTATGACTGTCTATGAGTTCTCCCCAGTTATATTGTAAACGTTTCCAGGTATGCCCGTATACCATCTAGAACACGGGTCGTTGATGTTAGGATCCTACACATGGGTGCTGTGTTGTTTTCACTTAGCTGCTGTGAAGGGAAGCAGGAGGGCGTGAGGTTGTTGTGACTGGACAGTGCTGGAGGTCATCTGCACAGCCTCCTGGAGCGCTTGTTCTGGACAGTTCTTCCCAACAAGATGGTGATCCTACAGAGATCTTTGCCTGCTTTCCTTCTGAGAAGGAGATTTAAAACTTATTGCCTTGGATCCATGTGCAGTAGCCCGTGAACTTCATTATTTCCCTCTGCTCCCGGCACAGACAGCCCCGAGACCTGGCTTCTCCTTACCATGTTCTCACAAGAATTATTTGCCACGCTGTCTGACACCCTTTTCCTTGTTCTTAAATAGCTTGTCATTAGGACAAGGCTTAAAATTCCTAAAGTGATAGTCTAGAATTCCTGTGTCCAGGGGATTTAGAACATTCCTTTTGTTCTGTAATGTATTGTCAAACCTGGGATCTAAAGGCACAGATTTAGCGGGGAGATTTCTGAGTGTTGGAACTTTTGCTGAAGGGCACGTTGTGACAGATGTCTCTGTATTTATACTTTGCTTGTTCCAAAGTGATATAGTATAGAAAATTTTTTCCTCTTTTTCCTTTAAAGCTGTTGGTTTTATTTCATGGTATTGTCCAATTTTACTGTCAGAGAAAAAGTTAGGCTTTTAAGGTAAATCATGAACAGCAAAAAGCTACTCTTGTGGTTACCCAATAATAATACCCTTTGATCGAAGCAAACCTGGACACTTCAGCGTTCCTTCCCAATGTCTTCAAGTCTCCTCTTCCTCCTTCTCCTTCGCTAGCACTTGAGCAGCTGATGTCTCTATACCAACTTCCGAGCTGAAAGAAAGTTCAGCCCTTGTTTCTGCTTTAAAATTGCTCCTGAAAATTTTGTACATGGGATTGCTGCTAATAATTACCTGAAACAAGTATCTGCTTTTCCTGCAATTTTAGTTATGGGCATCATGGAGTTTCCTCTTACTTTACAGTGCTTTGACTGGGTGTGCTGATATGAAAATGGTTTTAGAGAAATGCCTGCTTGCCAAGAAGTTAGTATGAATCAGTCAGCGTCCTGCAGGCAACACTGAACCTGAACAGTAAATCCTAATATGTTCAAGAAAGTGCATTTTTAGCTAAAATTGTCTTTCATTCGATGCCCTGTTTTGGTTTAATTGAAGTTCATCAGAGACTTAAATTTAATGTAATTAGCAGCATAGCTAAGAGAGGCACAGTAGTGGTAGCTGTTGAGACTGTCAGTGGTTACTCTTGGATTGCGATTATAATGGCCTATTTGTCATGCCCCCAAAGAGGTGTCAGATGTTTGTTTTTCTATTTTCATTTGCTGAAACCATCTGTGTTATGTAATAAATTGAATAACCATGGACAAGTCTGCCAGAATACCAAAGAAGTTAAACAATCAGCTCTCCAGGGTCTTTGGAGCAGCAGGACCCTGGGTGCGTCCTCGCTGTTCCTCCCTCAGTCACTAGAGCTTGCAGACAGACGCCCCTCTCACTTTCCATGTCAGTAATATCCTAAGGAAACGTTTATCCTCACGGTCCTGAGGGGCACATCTCCCTGTGTGCACAGTCTACAAAGCATGCAGCTGGTCCCCACATAGAGTGCAAATAAAGAATTGTGCTGCTGTTTTTACAGAGTCTGTTAAGTGGCTTCTGGGCTTTTAAGTGGCAGAGACAGCAAACTGAGTTTATCTCTCCCAAATAAAAATGATTATCTCTGTCTATTCTAGACAGCTGTATTTTAAATTGCTGACAAAAAATTTAATTTCATTAAAAGAAAAATGAACTTCTCCTGTGATTTTTCCCCTGTATTTCTCTTCAGACAGTTTTGAAGGAAAGACTTTGCAGTGTCCAAAATGATAATTAAGAGAAGAGTGAATGCATACAAATCTGTGAGTGTGGCTTTAATAAAATGTGATCAAGAGAGCATTGTGGGGAGAGTTGAGAATGGAGCTCACTGGTTATATCTTATTAAGAAATGGATATTTTCTGATTTCTTTTAAAAATAATATTCAAATTTCTACCCTTACTGATCTATTTTAACAAAAAAGTAAAAAGAAAGAAAGGGAGAAAGAAAAAGATATTTGCATTTAAGAGCATTTAAAATGGCTACTTCAAACTTTTGCTTCTGTTGATTCTTTTCTTGAGTAAGTGTGGTTGTGGTACAAGGAAGAGGGCCTTCTCTTTCCTGGAGGAGGACTAAAGGAGCTCCTCTCGAGAAATGACCAGAAATTGAGCTACATGAGTGGAGTAGACATGGCTAGGCTTGCCCAGGCCTGGGAGAGGGGACAGGAGAAGAGCAGAGGACCCTCTGAAGAGTCTGACCCCAGCTCTCACCTTCCTGGTGCCTGCTGAGGACACCAGTCCGGCAGACCAGAGAGCTTCCTGGCCAGTCGTCTTAGTTCCGCCTCCCATTTTGTCACAGAAGTGCTGGGATTACTTTTGTGCCAGTTGTCTGCATCAAACTGTGTCTGTTCCAGGCCTGCAGACTTGAAGGGAAGTGCCTTTATCTGCTGAATTCTCTCACACACTCCAGGGACAATAGAATCCGTAAAATAAAAAGAGGTGCTTGAGTCTGAGTCTACCGACTAAATGATGGACCTCTTACTAGGTATCTGAATCACAACAGAAATGGACACTTCGGAAGCATTAGTAGTCGACTCCAACACTCTGATGGGAACCGTTCTTTTTTAAGATTTCCTTTTGTCTTATGGTATAAGTGCTCTGCCTGCCTGCATTGACATCTATCTACTGTAGCTGTGACTGCTGCCCCTGGAGGCCAGAAAAGGACACTGGATCACCGAGAACTAGAGTTACATCAGGTGTGAGCCACCTTGTGAGTCTTAGATACTGAGCCCTGGTCCTCTGCAAGAGCAACAAGGTCTCTTAACCTTAGCGCCATCGCATGAGCCTTTCTAGTTTTGATTGTTTGAAAGTTGGTAGCATTGAGAAAAATGTCTGCTGATCATCAACTCTGGAGCCGTGGGGATGATGCTCTAGATCAATGGTTCTCAACTTCCCTAGGGCCGTAGCCCTTTAATACAGTTTCTCATGTTGCGGTGTCCTCCAAGCAAAAAATTATATTCATTGCTACTTCCTAACTACAATTTTGCTACCGTTATTAATTATAATTTAAATATGTGATATGTAGGCCATCTGCCATGTGATTCCCCGTAGGTTGAGAACCACTGCTCTGAATGTAAGCAGCAGACTTGAGGGTGAAAAGCTCTTACTGTCATGCCATGGATTGCAGAGATGAGCTATCCATTCTCCTGTGAAGAAACCGTATGTTTAAACAGCGTAGCCATTGACTATCATAGCTTCTCTTATTTTGAAACTTACAGTTTGAGCATAACAGTTTAACAACGTTTTCATCAATAAATGACCAGAAACTCGTACAATTGATTCATTACTATATTGTAGTAAAGTCTTAGGATATAAAGATTGGGCTGCTGAAACAGTACTCCTTGCCTTGATTCTCTGCGCAGTCTTGCTTAACTACGTGTGGCTTTCATCAAACTATGAAAACCCTTAATTTTCTTACTGGGGAAATTAGAATGAGACTTTGACTATATAGGAGAACAAATGAGATATTATCATATAAATGGGTTCATAACAGTGCTTCAGTAAGTATCATTTAACAGACATCCTGTTGGGGGACTACACCCACATCCCTTCTTTCTAGTTATGGTTGTACAGCATCACACCAATGATTCTGCATTGGTATTAAAATCATGTTCATCTCTGGTAAACATGGGAATTTCTCCAGAATTAAGTTCTGTTTCAGATGCTGCTATGTTCCCTCAGTCCTCACAGCTGCTTAGTTTTGAAGGTATTTTTATTTGCAAGTGGAATTTATTTGTACAGTACTTTGTTAAGCTTTAAACTAGTTAACCTCACTTAATAGTCATTATGACCAAATGATACCTTTTCAATGGTGGGTTATCTCATTATACCTTCTAATAAGAGGTGGCTAACTGTCCGCTGTATGGTGATGATAGAAGCCCAGTAATGATACTCTAATTTAGAATGCCTTGGAGCATGTTGTGATTTACTGTACAATTCTTGAGATCTTCTACATCAAAGCTGTGAGAGTCTAAGTCACCAGAGCCTTTCCCCATCCGTAATAAAATAATAAAGGTCTCCTTCACATTGGAGCACTGAATCTTCACTTATGTAATCTGTAAAGTGATTGTTAAATTCTTTGAAATATGAAAATGTTTAATAATGACTTGACCTACTCTTTAGTCTGTATATCTTTATATAATTATTTCACATAACTTTCACTAATAATAACATCCATGGTAAATTCAAAATGCTTAAATTATAGGAAGATGATATGAATTATAGTAACAGGATAAACACACATTCACTTAGACACATGGGAACAATATGGGATGTGTTCCAGTGTGGGATTTATGAGTACTCGTGTGTCCTGGGGCCTTCCGTAGACACTGTACATGTGAGCAGAAAGGAAGTGCCTGACTGCCGCCTGGTAGGTGTCTTGGTTGGAAAGTGTTTGCCACACATGGATGAGGACCTGAGTTTGGCTTCCTAGCATCCCTATAGCTTGGCTCAAATCTGTAGGGGACGGATCAGGTACAGGAGGATTCTAGGACTTGTCAACTAGGAACTTTACCAAAATGGTGAGCTCCAGGCTTACTGAGAGACTCTGTGTCAAAAACTATGGTGAAAACAAATAAAGGAAGGCAGCCAACATGGACCTCTGGGTTGCATCCACCCAGCCCTGGGAACACACACACATCTACCATCATCTATAGAAAGTGTTGACTGCTAGTCAAAGTGTTTCTCTAATAATTCTGAAAGCAAATAAATTGTAAGTATAATCTTAGAAGATGTTTGGGTCATAGTGTGTATCTGAGCAATATGTACATAGTACACACCACACAATGATACAGGCAGAAGTTGGTACTTGGGCTCTTATGTAGAGTGTGTATGATAAAACAGATCGGATTTTTACATTAATTTTTCTGCATTTTCTACCATTGTGAATTCATTGTGATGTTACTTAAAGTTATGCTATGTATACATAGCATATTATGATAACTCCTAGTGTTAATGGCTGGTATATAAATCTGAGATAATGTATATTACATAGGTAATGTTCAGGTAGCTGTAGGATTCACTGGTAACTTCCCTGACCTTTGGTTCTGAAATATTTCTACATTGGGGAAGTGAAAGCTACTGAGTCAATTAGAATAAAAGGAATCTTACATACTTCCTCTTAACATTCACAAATTGTGAACATGTTAAGGACTAAGAGCAGAATTATATATTGTTCTTTCTTCTCCAATAACATATGTTCTTTGATCATGACTTAAGTATATGTTGACAGGAACATTATTTTAATTATTGATGTGCAATCCTGATGACTTATATGTCTCT